CTTATATTTTGTGAGAAAATGCCAGGACCTGCAGAGAACTCTTTGAGATTCTGTAGGAAAAAGAAGAATAATGCCAAAGAAAAGGGGATGATTTATATTTAGAAAGCCTTGTGTTCAGACATATGAAGAACCTCTAGACTCTCTAGGAGGTATCTAGCCCTGAGTTGCTGGGAGCAAGGGAATTAAAAAAGGACATAGATCCTGAAGGAAGTAAAGAAAAGAGATTTGGATGAATAGGAAGAAACAAACCAAACAAGTAGGAAATATCGTTTTTACATGCCCCAGGGCAACTGTAATATTGTTCTAGTATCATACTTAGCTTCTTTTCTTTCAATCCTAAACCTAAATTGTAGAAATATTTAACACCTCCCACACTTGTGATACTTGAAAGAGATTTGTCAGAAATCTCTCAAATCTTTTTATCTGAGGCCAAGTCTACATTAGAGGTGCACCAATATATCAGTTGCCTATTGCTGCCAATCTGATAAAAGGGAAATTTACATTACTAGCTACTGACTTTTTTTGGCCATGGTAACTGGTAACTATCTCCAGTACTTAATTATGCCTTCTGGCTGGGGCCCCCTGATGCCTGGGTTCTCTCCCTCAAGCTGGGTTGGCCCCAGATACATGCCATCCCCTAACCAGCGGGCCAGGCTGGATGGGAGCAGAGCAGCTGCCGCAGTGTCCCAGGCACTGGTGCAGACTATGGCCAGGGCAGGCTCTGTAAAACACCCTACAGATGGGACTGGGGCAGGCAGAGCTGAACTGCCCGGCCCGGCCCAGCCCAGCCCAGCCCAACCCGCAGTGCCTAGAGGTCTGTGCCCCAGGGGCCGGGGACACAGCCTGGCAGGGGCTGGGGCAGCTACTCCTCCACTGTGTGCAGCAGGGTCCTTCCCCCAGTAGGGAGTCTGGCCCAGTGACCACCTAGCTCTGGGCAGCCTCAGGCAGCTGCGCCCCCCCCCCCCCCCCCCCCCCAAGCTGGGGCTGAAGGGCAGGGGCTGTGACTGGCATGGGGCACTTTTACATGTGCTCTGGGAAGGAGGGGGGCAGGGTGGCACTTTAATTAGAGCAGCTCTGAGAGCCACTCTAATTAAAGTGCCATTGTGTCTCCTATATCAGCATCTCCACACTTAGAAATGGTGGTGGGGGACACTTGTACTAAAGCTGATTCAACAAGCTTTATTAGTAAATATCGGTTATTGAATCAGTATCAGTCAATGTAGCTGGTTAAGAGTTGACTATTGACATCAGCCAAGAAAATCTTTATTGGTAAACCCCTAGTCTACATTACAGAATTCAGTATGAGCCCCAAGTAACAACAGCAGTGCCTGCAGAAGCTATAGTAGAGAGTTAAGGGGAAAAATTATGATTTACTGATATAGTTTGCTTCCATCTACTATGCCAGTAGAGAGAGCAGCTTTGCTGGTATAGCTGCATTCAGACTAGTACGAATTTGCCAGAATAGTATGCCAATAAATCTAAACAGGCAAAGTAACCCTAAGCTAGACATGAGTCTTATTAATGTTGGTGAAAATGCTGTATAATTTTTTAAAACTGGTGTACTACTTATTTCTGGAATTTTAAATCAATTTTAATACATTCAAGCTGATTTTTAAATTTTTTTAGAACAAAAAAAAATATATTCTTGCTAGGTAGCTACTAAACTAGTCAAACTCCTAAATCATCACAGTGAGCCAAATTAGTCCTAATTGTTTCTCCTTTCACTTAATCCTTTCAATGCCCAATCCTTTTTTTTTTTTAGAAGCAGCTGTTTTCATGGTATTTAACTGCCTATTCTTATATATAATCTTTTGAGTAGTTCAATTTTTTCATACCCAACAGTGCTTGCTGTAGTCTGAGCACTTCTTCCTCCACAGGTGATGACACAGGTTGGAACTTTCCCCCCTGTTCTTTCAGAATAGTCTCCTGCTCTGCAACAGAATTTTGAAGCTTACTAAACTCAGAATTCAGCCTTTCATATTCTTGCGTTATTTGGCTTTTTTCCACCTTTACCAATTCTTGCTCTTTAAGCAGGATGTTATTTCTCTCTTCTGCAGAAGCTAATTTCTGATTTAGTTCTTTAATGTGACCCTCCAGTTCCTTCATATTGTGCATGCTCTCTGCTTTTCCAGTTTGTAGGTTCTGAATGAACTTTTTCAGTTCACCTATTTTAGAATGATCAGTAACTTCAGCTCCTGCACCTCCTGAAAGACACGAGAGTTTATAACAGTAAAATAGCAGCACAAGTCCCTTTCATGGAATAGTTTCTAGTAATCTTTACCTCAAAAATACTGTTAATGCTAAAACAGGTTAAAATGGATGCTGAGACATCATCTACAGAAAACGAGACATTTGGAAGTACATCAAGATACGTGGTTGGCTTCTGAAGAGCAACACCTTGCAGCTCCTTATCTCAATGAAGTCTAACAGCAAGTCTGAAACAAGTAAAGTAGGTCTGACAGCATCCCAATCAATAATAAGTTATACATTTCATCAAGAAAAAATAAGCCACCCAAATAATAGTTTTGACCAAAATATCATTAGGCTATTGTGTTCATTCAAAAGTAAATGCTATTATGTTTTGTCAGTTTTCTCTTTTTAATTTAGCAGAAATAACGAAGCTATTATAGGCTATATTTTTACACTAAGATGTATTTATGTTGACAGGTTTTAATGCTTCAGAGTTTGGCTTTATATTTGTAATTAGTTCTTGAATTTACTAAATGGGTGCAAGAACTACAGAATCTTATAATAACCATAGACTGTATGTATGAATGCAACTTTCTGGTATGCTTACTTTATGTATCATGTTTTAATTTATAATTCAATCTAGAGTAAGCAGACAAATTATTATGCAAGCTGTTAATTTGCCCATCACACAAGGCCAGCAAATTTCACTCTAAAATGATGCTTTCCACATCAAGACCATATTTAGCCAACGTTATCATTTCTTTTTAAAGATGTTTCAAACTTTAAGAGCCTCCATAGAGCTGTGCAGGCAAAGCAACTTACAAAGCAAACATTTAAAACAACTGTACAGCTGTGGAGGACAGAAAGCCAAATCTGTAGATAAAAGCTTTGAAATGAAGGAATGAAACTTGGCAATTTATGTCCATGTGTACTCTGAAAGGAATTTCCAGGATCTACTTGAAGATGTTTCCCAGTGGGTAGAACACCAAAACAAATGTACAGCATAGTAGTTTTCACAGATATACTGTACCAAGTAGTATGACATTTATTACAGCTGAGTTGTTATGCAAAAGATGTGTGGCTTATGCCTCTGATTTTATCCAAGATTCTTTAAAAGAATTATTTTGTAAAACTGCTGAAGACAAGAGAGAAATTTTAGCAGGCATCTGAATCTTTCAATAAATTCCCTGTCACTGTTAGCTGAGTCTTCAAGAAGCTGCAAAGCTCTTAAAAAGCATTTTGCCCACTTCTGTTTATCCATCAGGAACAGTGCTGGTCATGAAGTCAGCTTCTTAGTACAGCCTTCTTGCATGTCTCCTGGCCCTTGCTCAAAGGATAACATGCACCCTTTGGGTACCAGTACACTGAAAAACAAGTTCCAAGTTCAAGCATGAATTTTATAAGTTTGTTACCAGAAGTTCTACTAGAAGAGGACATCATTAACTGGAGGCATGCAAAAGTTCATTTTTATGTATCTAGATCATGTGTTGGCAACGTACAGCCTGTGGACCAGATATGGCCTGCAAAAGGACTGCATCTGGCCCACAAAAGTCCAACCCGGTCTGCATTCTGCTAAGGGCACAACCAACCAATCCCCAGCCATTCAATCCAGTCCACATTTTGCTAATGGCATGCAGACTGCCTCTGGCCACTCCAGCCAGCTGTTCCAGCCTGTGAGGGCTGCTCTTCTTCACTGCAGCCTTTGCTCGTCCTTGCTGGAGAGGCTGGAGGGGAATGGTGCCCTGCAGCACTGGCCAGGTCATAACCAGCAGCCTGCATTAATAAAAGTTTGCTGACTCCCTGTCTAGACATACAACTTCATTACAAGAAAAAACAGATAGAAAACTAAGGACTCGTTGCTGGTAAGTGGCAAGCAGTTTCAATTAATGTCCAATCCATCTAGGCACTTATGAAAACCTCATCAGCAAATCTGAGCTTATATTAAGTGGTCCACTGACTTTGTGCCTTTAGAACTTCTGTCCTAAGAAGTTGTAACCTTGTGTTTTCTGCAGTCTCCTTTGCAGCATGTCAAAGAGCTGAAAATAAGCTCGATTTAAAGTGTACTACCTGGCATATGGAAAATGTGATTCTAAATGGACATACATTATAAAGGTGAAAATTTTAAAGGTTTAAGAAAAACTCCACAAGCAAAGAGATGTTTCTGTTCTTCAGCAAAAAGCTTAACAGATTATGATAAACTTAGGTAGTTTTCAGAAGTAGGAGAACAAAAACCTTCAACAAGAAGCACTCTCCTATCAGTGAAAAATGATTCTACAAGTTTGAAGAATTTTTTATTTAAGATCTAGGCCAGAATCTGTGTGATGGAAAGCTAAAAATTCTAAAGAACCAAATTAGATATTAAAAAAAAAATCCAGTTCAAGTCAATTATAGCCAAAGTAACATAAGAAGAGCTAAAGTAGTCTTCATGTAACAAACATCACCTGTACTGCTCATTTTATAGGTATTTGACATTTTCCTTATAAATGAAAACTAAAAACAGCAGTTAATAAAACAGAATGATCACAGGATAATAAAGACCTTGCTGTAACTGATTCTCCAGTTCTTCAATTCGCTCCTCATATTCTCCTAACTCTTCTCGATGTCGACGACTTAGCTCTACTAATTTCTGTCGATGTGCATCCTGTAATACTGAAAGCTCGTGCTGATGTTCATCTATTTCTTGACTTAAATTCTGCTTCAGCTCCTAAAAAGTGTGATTGGACAAAAACAATTACAAAATACAAAACAGAAAATTCTATTGCATTGTATGCATGTTTTAAAAAGGAGATCGTCTTGTACCTAGAAAAATTAAAGGGCTTGTACCACAGAGATCTACCAAATATTTCACAACTAAAACAACACACACCTTTTAAATGAAGTCATTTATGCAAACAATGTCTGGTATGGTACAGGATATAAAAACACAGCGCCAAAGAGCTTACACGCTTAGGCACATCGGCAAAGTGAGTTACTAGGTTATGAGAATACTAAATTGTTTTTTTGGATTTCCTTCTTCCTTTATTAACCCTATTATTAAATTACAGTATAATCAGGTGAAGGCAGTCTCATAATGTTGAGAAATTATATATAGCAGCAACAAAAAGTAACCCAAACACTGTTAATGAAGAATTCTATAATAGCGTTATATAGAAAACGCCAACACTGATAATGTATAGTACTGCTGACAAGCAAGTAAGCAAGTTCACTTGTCAACATAATCAGGAAATGGAAAGCCAAAACTCATGCTACATAGGTCCTGGGGTGTACACTATGTGCAGTGTGTACCCTGGGGCCAGAGGGTGGGGCCAGCCCCCACATGCTGTGTGCTGCTGTCTATGGGTCAGCTCAAGATCCAGGGCCAGCACAGAAGGCCAGATGATGGGGCTCTGCAGGCTGTATCTTTGACACCCTGATCTAGATAAACAATCCAAAATAATGCTTAATAACCAGCAGTGATAAAGGCTTTCAGTTCATCCTCAGCTTCCAAAACTGAATATGCTGGTTTGAATAACAACAAAATATACCACTTAGTCAGCATGCTACACCCTCAAAGAGCTCAACAACTATTGAAGAAAAAAAACATACTATTCTGGATGCAAGATTCTATGGTATAACCATATTAAAGGAGAGCTGGAAGAAACCTGAAAGGTCACCTTCTGGCCCAAGTTGCTGCTCAATTACAGGTCATCTTTGCTTAAGCCATTCCAGTCAAGTGGGATTCTACAACCTTCCTAGGTCAGGGACTGGCAACCTTTTACAATCCTCAGACTGGAACAACCCAGTTGTGATCCAATGCAGGCCAGGTGACTTCAGCAGTGTCAGCAGCACGGGACTTTCCTCATAGCCACACTGGGACCCGGCACCTGGGAACTGCACCCATACTACCAACACTTCTGTCAGCCTCCTGCTCCTTAGCTGTAGCACGGATGCAGCTTCCAACCCATAAGGAGCTACACTGGGGCCAGGCACGTACAAACTGCATCCATGCGGCTGCTGCTTCTCCCTTCTTCCCTCACTCCTGGCTATGGCGCAGGCACAGCTGGAAGCTACCTGGCCCCAGAGCAACTCCCTACTGGCTGGAAGCTGCACTTATATCACACCTGGGGAGCAGGAGGCTGGGGGAAGTGGTGGCAGTGTGGGCACAGTTCTCAGCTGCCTGGTCCTAGTGCAGGGACAGTCAAAGCCTCCTGTCACTGACATGCCAGCAAAACCACCCAGCTAATGCTGGACTGCAGCCGGGAGGCAGGAAGCAGCAGCAGTGGTGTGGGCACAGCTGGAAGCTGCCTGCCCCTGGCACAGCTCCTTGCTGCCTGGCCCTGGCATGGGCAAAGCCATACCTTTCAACTCCATGGGCAGGATCTAGTCACTCCATGGACCAAATCAAGCCTGTAGGCTGTGTATTGCCAACCCCTGCTCAAGGCAATCTGTTCCAATACTTAACATCCTTCAAAGTAAGAAAGTCCTTAACATCCAATCTAAAGTACCCCTGCTGCAGTTTAAGACCATTTCACCTTGTCCTGTTCCCTGTAGCAACAGATTAATCAGTCAGTCATCAACCACTTCATAACCACCCTTCAGGTCTTTGAAGACTTATCAAATCTCCCTTCAGTCTTCCCTTCTCCAGACTAAACAATCCCAGTTCTTCCAACCTTTCCCCATAGGAAAGGTCATGTTTCTTAAACCTGTAATCATTTTTGTTCCTTTTTGCTGGACTCTAATTTCCACATTTTCTTGAAGTGCAAGGGATGGAAAGGAGCACTCAAGGCAAGGCCTCACTGACCCTAAACAGGGTGAAAGAATCACTTCCCTTGACTTGCAAGTGATGTTCTTATTCAAAACAGCCCAGTATGTTATTAGCTTTTTTTTTTTTCTTTCTTTTTTTCTTTTCTTTTTTTTTTTTTTTAAGACAAGAGCAGTGTTAGCTCATATTCAGCTTAAGGTCCTCTATAACTCCTAAGACCTAGGTCCTTTTTCTGAAATACTGCGGCCTAGCCAGTCCTTGCCCAGTCATGTGATTGTTCTGTTCTCACTGCAGGACTTTGCCCTTGGTCTTTAATTAAATGAAATTCAGGAAGAAAGTTTCTCCAGTTCATTAAGGTCATTCTGGATACTAATTCTATCTTCCAAAGTATCTGCAATTCCACCCCATGCAACTCCATCTCACCTGGTGTCCCTGCAAGAGTGCATTCAATCCCAGCCACCAATTTACTAGTGAAGATGTTAAATGGTACTGGATCCAAGACAGAACCCTGGGAAACCCTAGCTGACATCTCCTCCCAATTAAACATCAACCCTAACTCAGGATGACTAACTCATGGAACACAATGATCCAACCAATTGTGTACTGTATCCACTTTTCAGTAATTTCACCTAGACTGTATTTCCTTAGCTTACTAATAAGAATGTCATAGGAAAGTAGGACTCAAACAAAAAGGACCTGAGGAGGCTATCCAGTCCAAAGACCAGCTTGAGGCAGAATCATCCCTATTTAAACCATCCTAGACAAATGTTTGTATAATCTATTCTTAAGAACTTCAGCTATAACCAACACATACAACTACCAGTATATTGCCTAAAACATCAAAAATACTCTAGCTTGCCACAGATCACATAGGAGGATGAGAGCTCTGTCAGTGTGCTCCCACTACAAGGACAGTAGTAGTTTAAGATATGCACATGAAGACAATGACAAAAGCCTTGCTAATACGAAGCTACATCCACTGTCCTGTCCCTGTATGCAGTCCACCACTTTATTATTGTCATTCAATCCTGCTGGCATGAAAACATTCAACTTTTCTAAGCAATCTCTAACCTGTACTTCTGCTATTCCAGGCTGTCTCCGCCCCTGTCCTTGATGCCAGATGTGCTTTATCATCAGGTAGCTGAACTTTTATTCATTAAATACTTCAGCCTTCTCAGAATCCATTGTAAAATTGCCTTCTGCATTGAGTAAGGGACCTACACCTTTCTTGGTCTTCCTTTTACTGCTGACATACCTGTAGACTGCTTTATGTTGCCTTTTATGGCCCCTGCTATAGGCTAAGGCACATACTGAGATGCAGCTTTCTGATTCCCATCACCACATGCCTATGCAATGCTCCTAGACCATTCCTAGTAATATGGTCACATCGTGACTTTTTGTAAGATTCCTTTTGTGTTTTATGTCACTGAAGGGTTTGTTAGTTAGCCAGGCCTGTCACCTGAGGCATATCCTATCCTTTATTTGCACTAAAACAGAGGTTCCCAAACTTTCTTATTGCATACTACCTTTCAGATTTACCAGTTTCCTGCATACCCCTACAAGCATACGTTTTATATTTTAACCCCTTAAATGCCAATTATTATAATGAAAATTAAGCCTGCCGTCACACAATTTCTCCCACGTACCCCACCATGGGGTATGCATACCAGTTTTGGAACCCCTGCACTAGAATAACCTGCTCTTGTACACTTAATACAGCATCCTTAAGGTACAAGCTCTCCAGGAATCTTCAGACTGCCTCCTGTGTGATCCTACCCACCAGTTCCCTGAGTTTTTAAAGACTGCTTTCATAAAGTACAGTGTCTTTATTCTAATGTTCTCCTTCCTACCTTCAAAATCTAAACACTATCATTTCATTGTCACTGTTACCCAAGTTGACTTCTACCTACATATTCTTGACCATATAACAAAAGTGGTACAAAAGACTGTCTGAACCAGCTGCGGCATTAAATATCATTCACAGCTATTTGAAGGAGATGTGTTAGAGCCACATCCACATGAACGTGGTCATTTGTTTCCCATGGACAAGAAACAGCAGCACACCTTGCGCCATTGCTCTCTCCCTGGGGAATACCTGTGCCACACGCCCTCTAATGTGCAGCAGGTTATCCTGGGTGGGGTAAGGCAGGCTGGCCCCAGAAGCCTTACCTGGGGTCCTGGGCTCTTCCTGGGGCAGCAGCAGAAGCACTCCTGCCACTCGGAGCCTGGCCAGCAGCCAGAGTGCGGCTCTGGCCAGCCAAGCTCTGGTTTTGGGCAACACGCACTGCCCCCCGGGTCTGCCATCCCGCTTTTTTTCACATGGGTTTTTTTGGACACTGGAATCTGCACCTGAATGTGCAATGTGTGGCACCACAGATGTGTCTGTGGCGCAACATACCGCATAGGCCACATTCAGAGGAGCATGGCTATGTGATAATCTTGTCCAGAATGAAAGTTTCATGTAAAAACCTGATCCGATTCAAACTTCAAATAGACTTGTTGAGAGTTTTTCTAATTTGAAAGCTGCCTTAAGCATTCACAACTGTGGTGAAGGCACTACCAAAACAAGATACCCCTACTTTATTTTCACATATATTCAGCTCTAAGTAAGACAGTACTAGCATACATCAAACTCTATCCTTAGCAGCACAGTTTTGAAATTTTCAATATAGAAAAGGTAACTGCTTGATTTTATTAATACAAACACCACCCACCACCAGCACATTTTATATCAGTAATAAATTTAAATAGTTGTTTTCAGCTCCTGCAGCTAGGCCTTTAACTACCAGGAAAGCTCCTTCCCTTCTTTTATTATAAGATAAGATGTGTTTAAAATAAAAAGTGGGGAGCCAAGTAAAAATGAGCAAATTCAAAATTACACCAAATTCTACCCATACTCTTACCTTACAATGTACTGGAAATGCATGGAAATCAGGTCACATTTAAGCAAGATAAAATACAGTCCACAAACAATTTTAAAATTACCATTTATGTGTGTAATTTATCATGCATGTAACCACATATCACTAGCTAAAATACCAGCAGCATAACTATTCACCAGTATTTGCCACGTGCGGCAATGTTAAACATCAGTAAATAAAAGCTATAGTTTAGCTTTGTTTAAGTATACCTGCATAAAATCCATAAGCAGTGGGGTACTAAATTCATACTTAATACTGGTATCATACTTAATAGTAAGCCTAAAATTCTCAGGGGAACTGAATTTCAAGAAGTACATTATATGTAAAACATTTCTAAATGGCTTCCTTCCCAACACCAGAATCTTGGTTGACAAAATACACCCCCACTGATTCACTCTCACTTGGGTGTGTCAGACTGGTATTCAGGCAGAGCAGAAAGCTCAGAGCAACCATGCATATGTATGATGGCTACGTTTAGACAATTTCTAGTGAGAGCAGGGGTCAGGGAGCTATGCCAAGGGATCAAGGGACACTAGCACTTTAGTCTTCTCCAAGCACCCCTACGACTCCTCCCATGATATCTATTTTTCCTAGTTGCTGAATTAGAAGTGAGTGCAAAAGAGGAGGTGGAGGGAAGGGTTGTCAGAGGCAGAAAAGGCCAGGAGATAAGCTATACAAACATGGCCTTACAGTTACCATTGACTTCTGTGTCTGTGTAGGATCTAGCACAGCAGTTTTTGACTTCACTAAACTCAAGGCATGCCTCAGAAAATCTGAGGTCTTTGCTTTTACTCATTTCTTAACTATGGAAAATAGACCTATTATTCTGCTGCAAAGAACTCCCAAAGACCATGACACATCACAATGTTTTTTATACTATGAATTCCCATCTTAAATCTATGGGTTTGTGTGAATGTGTAGGTGTTTGCACAGTTAATAGCATTAATTTTGCACAGTACCTTTAAAAGGAACTCATGGTACCCCAGGGTACCAGAGCACTATACCTGAGAATCACTGGTCCAGCGAACCAGGTCCCTATTTATGACTAGGATTCCAACCACAACAGGACTAAAACAGCAGCAAAAGTTGTAACAACTCACCACCTGCTCCGGGGTAGGAAGGGAAAACCTACTGCCAGTTTACTTCGTTAGACATCCAGAACCTGAAACACCACACAAGTCTGGCTATTTTTTTAATGTGGTTTGGGCTTACTCTTGCAGACCTTATTCTAAGTCTATTTTATAACCAACCTAAAACGCACTTATAATCCACTCCAGAGATATGTTTTGAAATATAGAAAGCAGCAACATTTTAGTCAATCACATGCTAATACATATTTAATGCAAAAGAGTTAGGTCCTAATGTTGCAAACAGTAGGCACACATTTCACTGTAATTGTGGGAAGGACCTGACTGGGGTCAAGGAAGCTGCTCATATCAGCACTTGTGCTCCAAGGTCTGAGAAGCAAATTATAAGTGTGGGTTGATTTGTCAAAATTGTCACTTACCTTGATGGTATTTTGCAGCTTGCAGATTTCACTCTGCTCATCATCATTTGTTCTTTGTACTTTGGAAGACTAAGCAAGAAAAAGATTATACTTCAGTTTGGCAAAATAAATTGAGATAAAGGGAAATAGATTTTTTGTGTAAGCACTTCAACAGTATAGAATAATAGAATCATAGCAAGTTAGGTTTGGAAGGGACCTCAGGAGGTTATCCAGTCCAACCCCACGCTCAAAATAGGACCGCCCCCAACTAGATCATCCCACCCAAGGTTCCATCTACCCAGGTCTTAAAAACCTCCAAGTGAAGATTCCACAACCTCTCTGGGTAGCCAGATCCAGTGCTTTACTACCCTCCTAGTGAAAATGTGTTCTCTAATATCTAAACTAAACTTCCCTTGCTGCAACTTGAGACCACTGCTCCTTGTTCCATCATCTGACACCACTGAGAACAATCTAGCTCCATCCTCTTTGGAATCCTCCTTCAGGTAGTTAAGGTTGCTCTCAGTCTTCTCTTCTCCAGACTAAATAAACCCAGTTCCCTCTCCTCATAAGTCACGTGCCAGAGACCTGTAACCATTTTGTTTTTGCCATCCACTGGACTCTCTCCTATATGTCCACATCCTTTCTGTAGTGGGGGGCAGAAAACTAGACACTACTCCAGATCGGGCCTCACTGGTACTGAATAGAGGGGAAGAATCACTTCCCTCAATCTGCTGACAACACTCCTACTAATGCAGCCCAGTATGTTGTTAGCCTTCTTTGCAACAGGGGTACACTGTTGGCTCATATTCAGCTTATTGTCCACTGTAACCCCCGGGTCCCTTTCTATAGAGCTGCTGCTTAACCAATTCAGTCCCAGCCTGCAGCCATGTGTGGGATTGTTCCATCCCAACTGCAGGACTTCACACTTGTCCTTATTGAACCTCATGAAATTTCTTTTGGTCCGATCCTCAAATTTGTCTAGGTCACTCAGAACCCTAGCCCTATTCTCCAGCATATATACTACTCCACCCAGCTTAGTGGCATCTGCAAGCTTGCTGCGGTTACACACCATCCCATCTTCCATATTGTTGATGAAGATAGTGAATACAATAAGCCACAAGACCTGGGGCACTCCACTTGATACCAGCTGCCAATTAAACATTGAGCCATTGATTACTACTCTTTCAGCTCAACAATCCAGCCAGTTTTCTACCCACATTACAGTCCACCATTCATCCAAACCATACTTCCTTAGCTTGCTTGCAAGAATGTTATGGGAGATGGTATCAAGAGCCTTGCTAAAAAGTCAAGGTATATCATGTCCACTGCTCTCCCCACCTACATAGAGCCAGTCACCTTGTCACAGAAGGCAATCAGGTTTGTCAGGCATGACTTGCCCTTGGTGAATCCATGCTGACTATTCCTAATCGCCTTCTCCTCCACATGCTTAGAAATGGATTCTTTGAGGATCTGCTCCATGATTTTTCCCCAGAACTAAAGCAAGGCTGACTGGTCTGTAGTTCCCCAGCTGCTCCTTCTTCCCTTACTTAAAGAATGGGCATTATATTTGCCCTTTTCCAATCATCCAGGACCTCTCCCCATTGCCACAAGTTTTCAAAGATAATGGCCAGCGGCTCTGCAATCACAACTGCCAACTTAGAAAAAAAACACTGTAATAGAGAACATTTCTTAAATTTAAATCCAAGAATAGCAGTTAGCAGATTTCTCTTTTAAATTTCACACTATATTTAACTGTATTTATGAGAGACTAACATTTTGATCAGTTTCTTGCATTTCAGTAAAAATTCACAGAAGCCATTATTTTGTTTGCACAGCTCTGGGAGCAAGCAGTATAATTGTAATCAACTGAATTAGTTGATTAACGACTACTAACATAAGTTAAGAATTTTTAAGTGTCTGCTCTACTTGATGACAGCAAGCAGAAAATATGTTCCTTTTCAAATGATCCACAAAGAAGTTTAGTAGTAAAAAAAAATGAAGTCATGAAAAGTAAAATTGTATTAAAATCTGCAACTATCCTTTTGTAAATATCTTTGCCAATACCCAATTAGGGGCAGAGCTAAAAAAAAACAACAAACCAAAAGTACTTTTGAAAAGCCTATATATAAAAAATTATGTAGTCATATTTTGAGCAAATCCTAGTACGTGTTTATTAAACTTTCTCTAACCGAATAAAATATAACAGCTGTTACTACTTAGTCAACTGCTTGCCAAAGATTAAATTCCATCTTCATAATTAAATTTTTGTTTATCTTCCCCCTCAGAAGAGTATGGGACTAATTCTTAGAACTCATGCTGCACTGTATATTTTTGAAGTGTCAAACATATTAAT